AACAGCAACTGTGCTTTTCTTTGACACACAGCACCAGCGATGCAGATACCGTACATGACACGGTGCAGCAGTTGGCTTTAGCTTTTCTATCCAGCTTTGATTTCCCTGGTGAAGGGTCTGGTTTGGTCAGTGAATACATTCCTGCGAGTGCCTGTCAAAACATAGTCTGCTTGCCTGTTGCGGGTTTCCGACTGTTCTACAAAGTGCTCCGCCATGTAGGTGTCAGAACATATTATAGACACAGGCAGCAGCAGTCCTGTGAAGAGTCAGAGGCTTTTTCCATTTTAAATGTTGGATTTGAGATCCTTGCCACCCAATCCGTATTATCGACTCTTACATTGGCATGTAAGGCATCAACCTGGATGCTCATCTATAAAAAGCTTTTTTAAAAAAAAGTCACATCCTTTTTTAATATACAAGGGCAAATAAAAAGGAGTTTGGATCTAACTTCAGACACTTGGGTTGTTGTTTTGACAAGGCGTCATACAAGAGCCAACACATTTAGGAATACACCTGCTTTTCCGCTAGTCCAGTGCTCGTTGATACTTTGGAACAGAAAATGTGAAAAGGTGGGGGCAGGGGATGAGTGAATGCATGTTTTAATAAGGACAGCGGCTGTGCAGTGTTCTTCCTTTCTAACTTTATTCATTTGTCTCACTCACTTGCACATCCCAACAAGCTCACAACGGGAAGGTAGGTCTTTGGAGTCCACATCATGTTATCAAATGTAAATGGCAAAACAAGTCAAGGTAAAACCTACGGGGGCTAGTCTATGACCAAAAAACCCCCCCAAACAAACCCTTCTGTGGGTTCAAGAGGAGGACACGGCTCTTATAATGCTCTTGAAAGACATCAAGGAAAATATGCACAACTGACTGCACACTACAAGTTGTGTTTTCAAATGGGCACTAGGCTGTTGAGCTCCCAGCTTCCTTAGATTTTCAATGGCCATTCTTTCCTTGGTGCTTTGGAAAATGCCAGCCTGCAACCATGTTTCTCAGGAGATGCAAAGACACACAATTCAGCTTCTGATGTGGCTAAACTTGGAGGCTCGGGAGACTTCCTACCAGAGAATCTATCCACACAGCTGCCTAATGCTCCGGGAATGCATTTCGCCTGAAACACCAGTGTGTTTGGCTGGATGACTACTTGTGCTTCTTCGTGCACGGAATTATATCAGATCTATGGAAGAACCATCCAGTTTCTGCGTTTCTCAGTTGCTGCAAAACTGGCGGAGGCCGTCTGGAGTGAGAACTCTCTGATGTTTGTGTTTCTGGCATTATGTTCTGTGTTATTTTAACAAACTTGGCAATGTCCAACTCCCTTGCCCTCACCCTTTCCTTTACTGTGACATTTGCTGACACAAACCGAGCAATCTCCCGGTAATGCTCTAATGCCAGTGTTTGAGGTATAAACGTCCCTTCCTCAATTAACACTCATCTACCACAGACTTCAAAAGACCTGATAGTTGGTTTTGTGGAGCAATGCAGAAATTAACACGGACCCACTACTACTGCCAATTTCCTTGGCAATAACCCATTTGACAATACCGAGAAGAAAGTGGAATGATTCCTGCCTTCAAGTGCTTGCTTGACTCTTACGTTGCCTTGTTAAATTCCTGTTTTGAGCCAGCTTGGCAGAACACGCTCTCTGCCCTCAATTAGGGGTGAAAGCAACTAGTCGACTACCCGATAAGCATATACTTATCAGGCAGTTGAGTAGTGATTTGACTAGTTGCTTCCCCGCCCCCTGCTGCCTCAATCAGAGAGAGGTAGCAAAACGGGGGAGCAGGAGCCGGTGCTGGAGGGAGCTGGCTTAAAAGCTGGTTCCCCCCAGCACTATTTCTAGGGGGCAAAAGAGGCATGAGGGGTAGACTGGTCATGAGCCAGGAATCAGCTGTTTCCCGGCTCACTCCTGGGCCAAGACACTGCACTTAATACATTTTAAAAGCAGCAGTGCAGGAAGAGGGATCAGGCACGGGAACAGCTGTCCCGGTTCATGCCTTTTTCCACTCCCCTCATCGCTTCACGTCTGCTTTTTAAATGTATTAAGTAGCTAAAAGGGTGTTATAAGGAGGAGGGAGAAAAATTGTTCTCCTTGGCCTCTGAGGATAGGACAAAAAGCAATGGGCTTAGCAACAAGGGAGGTTTAGGTTGGACATCAGGAAAAACTTCCTGCCTGCTAGGATGGTTAAAATATGGAATAAATTGCTTAGGGGGGTTGTGGAATATTCATCACTAGCGATATTTAAGAGCAGGTTGGACAGACACCAGTCAAGGACGATATAGACCAGTATTTCTCAATTTTATTTGGCCACAGAACCCTTTTAAACTCGAAATAATTTTGCGGAATCCTGAATAACAGTCTTATATATGGAGCGGAAAAAGTAGACCACAAATAAGTAAGGATAACAATAAACAAATGCTAATTGAATTTATTCTCACTAGTTGTATTGGTTTGCAAAAATTGGCATAAAAGCAACTTTTCTTCAATAGATTTATCAAAATCATAACGGACAAATAGAAGCAAAACTGCAAGATCTGCAATGTCAGAGGACTCGTCTAATTGTAATGAATATGCATCACATAAATGCAGCCGAAAAATAAGCTCCTTCTTGATGTCAGCAGCAAGATCGTGAATACGACACGTGACAGTATTGTTTGATAGCGACACAGCCTCAACTTTTTAACAAGGCTCCTCGTCCAACATACACATTACAATATCTTTTGCGCATGGTTTTATGAATCATAGACTCAGAATACTAGGACTGGAAGGGACCTCGAGAGGTCATCGAGTCCAGTCCCCTGCCCTCGTGGCAGGACCAAATACTGTCTAAACCATCCCTGATAGACATTTATCTAACCTACTCTGAAATATCTCCACAGATGAAGATTCCGCAACCTCCCTGGGCAATTTATTCCAGTGTTTGACCACCCTGACAGTTAGGAACTTTTTCCTAATGTTCAACCTAAACCTCCCTTGCTGCAGTTTAAGCCCCTTGCTTCTTGTTCTAACCTCAGAGGCCAAGATGAACAAGTTTTCTCCCTCCTCATGAGGGATTCCCCAATTGTGTGCACTTCTCTGGCGAGCGATATATGCTAGCTTACGTTGTAAGACTCCCTGAGAGCGAGTCCAGGGATTCACGGTGGTATATACCAGGCGATTGCACCGCTGATTGACTGCACGTACAGCGCTGAGTAGTGACATCATCGTCCTCACTCTCTGGCTAAGCTGGCATTACACTGGGACACGTACCGTGGCCAAGACAAACGAAAATTCTTTTCCATCACATTCATAAATGCTTAAAAATTAATTATTTTTTGTAATCATAAAATGTTATTGTAATGGAATTTTCTCACGGAACCCTTATTTTCACTTCGCGGAACCCTGGGGTTCTACGGAACATCATTTGGGAAACACTGATGTAGACGGTTCTTGGTCCTGCCGTGAGGGCAGGGGACTGGACTCGATGACCTCTCGAGGTCCCTTCCACTTCTAGTGTTCTAGGATTCTAAGGGCTCTTAATGCATTTAACAAGCAGAGATGCAGCAGGGGATGACATGGGAGACTAGGTGCGAGCCGGAAATCCACTGATTCCCGGCTCGCACTGGTCCCCCAGCTATACTTCTGCCTTTTCAATGTATGGAGAGCAGGCGGCTCTGAATACATTTACAAGGCAGAACCACAGCAGGATTAGCTCCTGAGCTCTGCAGTTTCCCCTCTTATCAACTAATCGAGCCGGTGATGGAAATTCCAATGACTACTCAATTAACTGATTACCCGCAATTTAACATCCCTCCCCTCCATCACCTCTTTCCGCCCCAAACCAGAGCTCCAAATGATCCCTTCCTCTCCTCACCATGGCCACGTTCAGGCAATAAGGCAGAAACCAGCCCTGTCGCCACCCTAAATGGAAGGTTGTCAAACCAGCTGCTGAAACTAACATTCAACAGACCGCGTACTGATCCCATTCAAGTCAATGGCAACATTCCCTGTGATTTCCAAGGGTACATGAGCTTGCTTGACATGTTGATGGTAAATATCTTTAAATCCTTTTTTTTTTTTTCTTTTAAACACGGTACCAGTTTCCCCAGGCTAGTCTGGTCTGTGCCCGCTCATGTGCAAAAGCATACAGGGGCCTACGGACAGGAACCTGGCTCATTCAGTAGGGCTACATGGCCATTTGGTTGGGGCTCTGAGTTCCAAAGTCTACAGCAGCCGAGCCAGGCTAATGCTTTTAAGAATCCCACCCTCTGTCTCAAGTAGATACATTGGGCTCTGGGTGGCCCAAACAGTATTTTGGACACGTTAGACCCCCCCCCCCCATCCAGCTTCAAGAAACCCGTAGAGCAAGACCAGCAGTCGGTTCTTCCGTGCTGTTGTACTTACTCAGGCCTGTTGCATTCGCGAACTGCGGTTTTTATGCCGCCGCCACAGGTTCTGGAACAGCTGCCAAAGGGACTCCATGAACCCCACGCTCCGTCGATTACTGGCGCCTCTCGCTCCTTGGGGACACACACCCCATACTTGCAGTGCTGTATGCAAAAGAAGGCATTACAGGGCTGTTTCACAATCGCTTTCTGCTACAGAATATGGACGTTTTAGATGACAGTAACCCTCTTTAGCCCATGTTCGTTTGTCTGCCTTTTCTCAATGGCTACACTCACAAGGAAAGGAACAGTTTACAAAAGAAGCCTTAAATGACCATGTTTTAGCATAGATAACCCACGGGTTATGCAAAATTTTACAAACCACGCCCCTCCCCCCCCTTGCGGCCTATACTCTTCCCTGTATAATGCAGATTTTTTTTTACTTCGGTGATGGCTGAGGTGCCGAATCAGAATCGCTGTCATAGTCTGAGCAGCTGTCACAGGGACCAAGCAGATGGGGATGAGAATTCAGGTAAGAGGTGGGGAGGGAGAGAAGATTCCCGTGCTGTGGGAATACCCAGCGACCTTTCTTCCCTCTGTTGCATCTGGCTCTCCGTGTGTGCGTGGGGGCGGTGCTCTGTTTAAGGACACAGCTCCTTTGCTCAGCTCCTGGCTCTGGCTGCCTGGGGAAGACAGCACCCCGGGGGAGTGCACAGCACGGGCGGAAGGCAGCTGGGGAGGGCTAGAGACGGTGCGAGGGGTAATTCCAGTCACCTTCCCTTCCCATGCAGCCTGGGGCAGACAGCTCACCCTGGGGGAGACAGCCTGTCGGGCTGCGGCCATCTACTCTGCGCTTTGGCAGTTGTGTATCTGGGAGCTCAAATGCTTCTGCACCACAGGCTCGGACCCTGACGCCTGAGTTAATTACCCTCGTTATCTTTCATTAACAGTACCCGCGGTTCACCTCCCGTGGGCTATACACGTGCGAGGGGTATGTAAGATGTTTTTTACTCAATCAGGAAAAACCGCCGGTAATACACTGGTGCAGGTAATACTCGTGTGCGGGTAATATACGCTCATTTACGGTACTATTCCTCTGTCGCTTAAGTCGCATGGCTCAAACACTGGATTTTTTAAAGTGCTAGAGCTCTTAAAAGCCGGGGTGGCTGACCCTCCTTCCCCGAAATCAAGGATGAAACACACAGGTCCCAGTTGAGGAAACAACTACATGCCTAGTTTTAACAGTAGGTACACAGAATCCTAGGATTGGAAGACACCTCAGGAGTCATCGAGTCCAGCCCCCTGCCCAAAGCAGGATCAATCCCAATTAAATCATCCCAGACAGGACTTTGTCAAGCCAGGACTTAAACATCTCTAGGGATGGAGATTCCACCACCTCCCTAGGGAACCCATCCCAGTGCTTCCCCACCCACCTAGGGAAATAGTTTTTCCTAATATCCAATCTAGACCTCCTGCATGGTAACATCAGACCATTGCTCCTTGTTCTGCCATCTGCTACCACTGAGAACAGCCTCTCTCCATCCCCTTTGGAACCTCCCTTCAGGCAGTTAAAGGTTGCTGTCAAATCCCCCCTCTCTCTTCTCTTCTGTATAAGCCCAAATCCCTCAGTTTCTCCTCACAGATCATGTGCTCCAGCCCCCTCATCATTTTGGTCGCCCTCCACTGGCCCCTCTCCAATGCGTCCACGTCCTTTCTATAGTGGGGGTCCCAGAACTGGACACAATACTCCAGATGTGGCCTCACCAGTGCCGAACAAAGGGAAAAAATCACTTTTCTAGGTCTGCTGGCAAAGCGCCTCCTAATGCACCTCAATACTCTGCTAGTCTTCTTGGCTACAAGGGCACCCCGTTGACTCACTGTTTACATGCTTTTCTGACTTCCGTAGCAACAGAAGCAGGCCACATGGTGTTACAGTGTTCTGCAGGAGACTAGGGGGAAGCAACAGATTCAAACCGTTTGCATCCTTAAATGGCGAAGACCAGACAGATTGCAGAGGCCAGAAGAGTGATTTATGGAGACACGGATCACAGCTACGCCAGCCGCAAAATACCCCCTGTTTACTGATCCCAAACTGCAATGCAACACGAGTAGTGACGGCTTTAGAAAAAAAACCTACTCATCGGATTTTCTGGCTAGCGGCTAGGAGCCTCAGTGTGTCAGTAGAAGAAACAGCAGATCAGGAATATACATTAAGAAAATAAAACAACCCTCCAGATGGGTAAAAAACAGCCAGAACAAAGGTAAGGGAAAACATGAGAAAAATAAGGCAATAAACATGGCAAATAAAAACCCACCCCAGAATACCTTTTATTGTATCACATCACTTTACTTCCCCAGGTCTGATTGCGATCTAAACGTTTTGTTAGCATAGGAATGGTAAGTACAAACAGGGAGGGAAGGGGTTGGGGGGGAGAATCACCCACCCAACCCTGGCAGTTATGTCAGCAAAACCCCGAGGGCAGACGCAGTGACACCGGCAAAAACAGTCCTTTTGTGGGAAGGGCTTAATTAGTTCAGGGACCCGGTGTGAGCTATCCTAGCAAAAGCACCCTTTTGCTGGGATAAGCTGTTCCTCAATACAGGGGTTGCTTGTACAGGGCATCCCTGCTTTAAGTCGCCCTGGGTATACATCGGGTCCGCACCGCATTGGGTCAACAACCAGCAAGGACTTTGCACAAAATTCTGCCCATGAAGTGATAGCTCCCATTTGTGGGTATTTGTGAAGGGATCAGCAAGAGGTTTCCGTCTCAGGGTACGTCTAGACTACAGGCTTTTGTCGACAGATACTGTCGACAAAGCTTCTGTCGACAGAGAGCGCCTAGACTACATCCAGTTCTGTCGACAAAGCAAGCCGCTTTGTCGACATGAGCGTGTAGACGCAAAGGGGAGTGGAGATGCAACAACGCCTTCTGTCGACAGAACTCTGTCGACAAAAGGTGTCAATCCTCATAGAATGAGGTTTACCGCCGTCGACAAACTGCCGAGTTCTATCGACATTCTGTTGACAGAACTCGGCAGTAGTGTAGACGCAGGTATAGTTTTGTCGACAAAAGTCCACTTTTGTCAACAAAACCCTGTAGTCTAGACACACCCTAAGGCAAGGTGTCCCAACCTATGGGTCAGGACCCAAATATGGGTAGCTGTTATATGCTCTAAGGGATGGCTGCTGCTTTAGCCAAATGCTTGGGAGCAACACACTCTGCATACTTTAGACAGCAAGAGTCTGTCACGTTGGCATGTTCAGAATCATGACGATGCCATTGTTTGGCTTTTTAGAAAGAGCGGATCAGTTTGACATCACATTTTGAGGCACGGTCCCGGCACTTTACTGAAGCAGTAACCGACAGAGGCTGCTGCCGTGGTGTCCGCTCTCTGCGGTGCCTCGCACAACGGGGCCTCCATCCGCCACCGGGGCTGTTTGGTAATAATCGCACCGGAATAAGAACGACAGGATGAGGCCCTCTGTCAATGAGCCTCTCTGGAGCGAGAGTGCAAGGACAGAAATGCGAAAACTTGCAAAAATATTTTGCCAGCAGTCACTCGTTAATCTTCATAAATAGCCCCAGGGGGAAGCACAAGCAGTGTGATCTTTCCTTTTCTCAGTGCACAGTGCAAAGGCAGCTG